TGATCAGCAATTTGAAAGAAAGGGAAATAATGCCCTTTAACTTAGGGAACTTAAATATTCTCTTTGGTTTCCTAGGATAGGTATCTCCTTCACCTCTTGCTTACTTTATTAATATTTATTTTATGTGTATGAGTGTTTGTCCTGCATGAATGTATGTGGACCATGTGTTTATGTGGTGTCTGTGGAGGTCATTATGAGCCACCATGGGAACTGAACCCAGGTCCTCTGCAAGACTGAGACATCTCTCCATCCCCATCCTAGTTTATATTACCTACCTTTTCCATTTGGGCATTGTAATGACAAGGGTTAGGACACTGAATTTCATATGTATAGGAAGATTGAAGAGCATCAGTTGCACGCTCAGCCAAATGTCCCATCAATGCTGATTAATTTGGTATCTGATGGCTGAACCCTACAGAAGTAGAACATAGATTTTATATAAAATTGCAAGTACAGCAGGTAGAAGATATTTGATAATTGGATTTCTTTTCTAGAGTGGTCTTTCTGTGATGAAGGTATATAGTGATGACTTCTAGTAAAGTGTGACATTTATGAAGTCTCCCCTTTTTTTTCTGAACATGTCAGGTTTTTATATGTTTGTAATATAAAATAACGAACCAATCCCAAGTGCTTCCTGTTTCTTCTCTTTCCATACTCTTGTGTATACATGTATAAAATACAAAATCCTAACCAGAAGTGGAAGAAATAAAAGATGGCAGAGGCAGAAAAGAAATTGTATCCAATAATCCCTGATGGAGCAAAACCTCAAGTATTCAGTTTGTGGTCCAGGCATCCTAGTGGCTAAGGAGAGAAATAGAATGTGGTGTGGTTTTCTGATAGTAAAACACATATCATCTGTTTGTTGGAACAAGCAAGCCTTCTCAGTGTTAATAAGAACGACTTGTCCAGGCAATTTGGATAAGAACTGGTGAAACTAGAAATGAATGATCCCTCATGAGGGTTTTTGAAAATAAAAAATGAAAAGGAAATCAGTGCACATAGTCAATTACTTCATTCATTGGTCTGTAGAGGACCTATCAGAGATGGTGTTAAAAATCAAGACCCATACTCCTGAAGAATGGAGTTTGAAACTTCTGGTATATTTACTACAGAGAGAAGCTTATTTTCTTCTGTCTGACAGACATGGGGAGAAGCAGAATGATGCAAAGGTAGCATTGTTCAAAGCTGGAGAATATAAATGGAGTTTTCACGGCATGCCGATATTTGAAAGACTGATCTGGCCTCTGGGAAGTGGTTAAATATGCCAGTTCCCTGTAACAGGAAGATCTGTCTCTGTTCTGGACAGCATATCCAATTTAGGAAATTATTATTATTTCATCAAAATTAATGTGAACAATTTTCCCTTTGAGGCTGCCTTTTCTGTAGGTGATGCTTTCCAGATGGGCTTTGGACAACATTCTTAATGTTTTGTATTCTCTTTCCTTGGGAAAGGCACTCTCTGACTTCCTCTATTTTTCGCTCTTTCTTTATCCTATCCTAGGGAAGAGAACACCAAAGGCCAAGGAGAAGAGAAACAAGAAGAAGAGGAGGAAGTTGACTGAGCGAGCCCAAGAGCAGCACAGCGTCTTTCTAGCTACAGACAGAGCTAACCAATAAAATACAGGCAATAGCTGGGGGATGCTGCGAG